CAATTTCTCTTTAGACCTTTTTAAAGAGCTTAAAAAAACAAATAATTTAGTATATAAAAGTATTTTTGTTCGATTATTAGTAACGGATAAAATTAAAAAAATGTAAGTTTAAAATTCCCATGTTATTCTTATGGAGAATATTGTCAAATGTTGTAGTTGCTTGTTTATGAATATATTTTGATCAAACTTGGCAAATTTATTTATTTTGTACTAAGCTATCAATATTTTACTCAAAAACACACTTTATTAGTTTCCTTGTAGCAGCAAACCTAGGTACTCGTTAAACCTAATGTTATTAAAATATATTTAACTGAAAATCAATTCAGACAAATGGAAATTCGCTTAGTCGGCAGGTTTGCTGCGGCGGGGGTATTTTGTATCACAGGCGTTATTTTAAAACAAATTTCAACCAAGTCAGCAAATATTTTTAGCAAACTGTTAAATTAGCAAACTTATTCACTGTTTACAATTAACATATGTTCTTCTTCTCACTTTTGATTTCTGACAACAGCTGGAGTTTCATAACAATTTTTGTTTCCAATGTTAATCTTATGGAGAAATACAAAACTTTAAAGGGCTCCAGGGCCTCATTCTATCATTATATCCCTAAAAAGAAAGTTTCCTGCACAGCTTCACGTTATGCTCTTTCCAATGACACCAAAAACATGAAAATCGGTTCAGTAGTTTCGGAGGAGTAATTGTCACAAAAAATCTGCTTGCGTATTAAATAAGTACTAGCATGTACTAGTGCACCTGTTGCTCGAATTCGAGCAATTGCTAAGTATTAACGGTTTTTTTTTACAAATAACAGTCAAAATTTTCCTTAACTTAAAAGAGTCACCTCAAAGATAATTTAATCAATCACTCCACTCCAGTTATCGAAACTGAAAACGAACTGACTCTGAAAACGAACATTCTTGTTTGTATCATGTGTTTACTATGAACAGCTGTAATTAATACAAATTATTCGTCTGCTAAATAGACAAAATTTTTTTCATAAGAAATGCATTGGCATTTTGATGGCCTGTGGGGCCAAGCCCGAGAACTTTTATTACAGGAATTGGGGAATGGGGGTGTCTACATAAAAAATACTATATTTTGACACATCGTTTGTAAAAATCCGTCCATTATTAACGGAAGAGTAGTGTTTCGTAGAAATCGCCTTCACGTATTATATATAAGGATAGATGTGTTACTTTTGAACTAACCTAGGCCTACACGCAATATAAGTTTCCATCAGTACATGAGTTGGCACAGATTTAATTAATCTCGTAGTGTTGAGTCCAATAATGAGGAAATAGATCGCGTTAATTATATTATGATAAGGATTACGGGTATTTAATAAAGAATAACTTCACAATGGTCCGATTTTTTAGTGGAATATGTTGCATGGTCTACTTCACTCAAACGATGTTTAGAGATAGCGAACTTGCGATTTGTAGTGGATGTGGCTATGGATTAAATGAGTCCGATGATTCATTTAAACGTTTTGTACTTACAAAGTAATTTGATATGTATGTACAAGTATTGTGTTTAAACAATTCAAAGGTAAACTCAATAAATGAAGTATACAGTGTTTGAAGTATGAATAATGTTTACTTAAAATAAGTGGAAAGCAAGTTTTAGTAAAACGAACTGTAGCGTTGAAATCAAGGATTCAAACGAAACATTTATGGTGCGAAGAGGGCTTGGGCACTTTTCTATTAAAAAATATGCATCTACTTTTTTATCTATTATTTTAGAGAGCGGACAGACTGAACATCACACAATATCTGAGGCAACATTCTTTACCAGATTTGAGAAGATAGAGATATTTTAGTCTGGAGTCACCTCCAGTTCAGACCACTTCACGTTGGCTTGCCTTGCTTTATACTGGGTCAAAGTCAAGCTTTAATGCTCTATTAAAACCAAGTAATAAAATTTTTATGCATACAGTCAATGTACATTTCTATTAGATAATTATTTGAGACATATTTAATTAGTGAGATTGTGTTAACTAACAGGGAAGTAGGAAAAAAGGTTACCAGCCGAAAAAAAAATTTCCATTGATATTAAAAGTAAATATTTTCATCCAAGCAACTTCTGAACCAACTGAACTGTGTCAGTGTTCTTTCACTTTCATGCTCATAAACCCCTGTTGATTTACACTTGATCATCTTGGCGTCTGTATACTTGAGTACAGTTAAAATTAACCTAACATCTGGCATCCACTCTCAACTCACTTTCAATGTCGTCTGCCGACGTTTGGCACTTGTTCTGTCCACGGTAATTCTCCAGACTAAACATAGCCCAACATCGAGAGGCCAAAAATATAAATTGCAAGATTATTTTTGCAAAGGAATATCAACGGAGGTTGTTTCCAACCCTTTAATTACTGGTGTATCATTTAATCTGAGAAAAAAGAAAATGAGGACCTTTTCCATGAATTTACTTCCACTACCTACCACAAGCATCTTTGTATGTAACAATACGCAATTGAAGTTTTAAGTTATGTCTTGGCTCTAACATATCTTTCCCTAACCCAACCCAACACAGCCTAAAATAATTTAATTCGAAACAGGATTTGTAGATAACTATAACATTTCAACCTGGGAAACCTTCGTAGTAGCGAATCAATGGAAAAGGTTAGAAAAATATTTTGTTCAAAAATAAGGCTCATGGATGATCGTTTATCCTTACTGATATTTTGAAATGTAATACAATGTTTAGATTTGACATCTACAGTATTTTATCCTTTAAACGTTAACCTGTATTTATGAGGTTACGTAGAATGTGCATCTTATCCTCGAATGCAAATGCGATTGTATGAATGCTATTATACAGTACAGTAGATTTGTCATCCTTATGGAACAGCTGAAGCCAATTTTATTGTTTGTTCTGTACGTCCAACTGTAGAGGTTATGTTTTGTTTACAATTTGTTTCTTGTTATTTCAGTCATTTAAAACCTCATTTAATCATATAAAACGATTTAATCATAAAGAATAACTGGTCCCCTTGTTATATAACCAAATAGTAAAGCACAAATCATGAAAATAACCCTAAAATAATAGAAACAAAATGTGGTCTACCCCAGCGATCAGTGTGGACGTACATGAACTAGACATGAAAAACAAGCTTCAAAATTTACAATGGGATGAGGAGTCTACTTGCTTAGTCTATGACAGTACGCATGGCTTAGAAATATTTCTACATTTAATATAATATTTCGAACATTGAAGTTGATCAAGTTGGTATTTTCTAGTATACACAATAACATCAGAACCACGCATAGACTTTTTGAAATGGTTATAATCGATAACAATTTGATGAATTGTTTATTTATTTAACACTCCACATATAACTAGCAAAAATGTGTAGATTGGTTTGTTTCTTGGCCTTATGAGTCAAAACTCCATTGTGTAGTAAGATTGTACAATCTGAAATAGTTGTTGTGTTCGGAAAGAAATGAATCCGAAGCAAGGGATTGAGAAGTGAAACCACAATCGCTGAATTTAATTATTTAAAAAGCTACATCGCGATCACAGGCTGTAATTTGCTTTAAATGTTGAATACCACTTAATTTGAAATTTGAACAATTTTATCCTATTCAAACGGACGAAGAAAATGGTTTTTGTTAGTTTAAACTTAAAATATTATCTGGTTTTTTACTCGTAAACAAGCGTCATTGCACGGTCCAGTTGAGCGGCAGAGACAAACAAAGTTATAAAAGAACACACTCTGTTTTAACTAACAACGTTATGAGTTCCACATCGCTTCACAATAGGCCCAGAAGTTGCGGCATTATAACTTAGACAAAATCAACTGGTGTTTGGCGGGATTTAAACCCGTGTCCTCGGAGACCAAAGTCCCGTGCTCTACCACTCCTGTTCGCTTCACCCTACATGAGTTATGAGCAGCGACCACAGAATTAAAATTTTAATTCTGTGGTCGCTGGTAATGAGTGTATAACAACTGTATTCACTCACAATTCAACGCCACACAAACTATTTTACATTTTTATAGAGCAATGCCAATGTGTTCGAACAAGAATTTGACGGAATGACAGTTTGTCATGTGACAATATGGGTCAAACCCTCGCCTACAACGTTTTACGCAATCAAGGGCGGGAGTGATAAATGGACAACATAAAATAACCTTCACTAACAATCGTTCCATCTCAGTCGTTTGAGACACAGAGTATAAATATTGGGCGAGTGATTGCCTCAGTGACATAGAGTATGAATATTCAGAGAACGATCACTGTCGAGTGATTATTTCAGGAAAACGGGTTCGACGACTCGCTCAGAGTTAACTTCGAACTTAACTTGTTTATAGTTGATAGACCTTTCATGATCAAAGGATTTTCATATTCAAAATTGTTGTTAAAATGTAAATCGATATAAATAAATGTTTGTATGTTTTTCGTTCGCTGTTTCTTTTTAGTCTACCTTAAATTGTAAGTTCTGGAAATTAAATTAAGGTTTTTGCTTGCGAAGCTCTATATCTTCCTTTAGCAAACATTACAAATGTCATTTTTGATTTTTGGCAGTTATAAAGCAAATAATTCATTATTTTGTTTAGCTTGGTCATCCTGGATGGACAACTTATTAGCATTAAGTTAATATGCATATATTTCTTCCTATTTACACACCTGTACAATCATATGAGTGTAATAGAGAAAATAAATCTCTTTCTTTCTTTTAACATTTAGGCCTAATTGTTCCGTATCTTGCGGATGTGAACACACATTCGTGATAACGCAAAATTTTTTTAACTGATGAATTACGCTTATCAATAGTTGGAAGATAATCTATGTATGTACTCAGATATGTTAGTTAAAATAGCACATTTACTTAAAGGGGCTCATTGTAATAATACAAAGGGTGTATTGATGAATGTGCGTGTTTTTAAAAACGACGTTAGTGTTACAGATAACAATTATTATTAATTATTGACCTGATTCTTATCTAAACTTGTGTTAAAGAGAACTTACACTGTATGTTTGCTTTGCGTGTTGCAGGGTCCATCATGGCCACACCTTCCTCTGATAAAGGATGCTTCAGAAGACTGAGCGGTGAGTCTCATAATACAGTTCATGTTTGCCATTTAACTAACCTCAGTACATCATATGACTTATATAGGTTGAACCGTGGTCAGGGAAGTCTTTAAAACTAGAATTGCTTTGTTAATAAACTGTAATAAGCTGACAACTACGTATACAGAGACTATAGCTATTTTAGTAACAAAGAAATCATATAGTACAGGTAAAATTATACTAAAAAACCAGTAGAAAACATAAAAATTAGTCCATTCATGAAACTTTCAGGAAACGTAGTAATTACCATTAGGTATTGGAATCTGAAGAGTCCCTAGTGATTGTGAGGGTGGAAGTACCATTTTATGGGGTTTTAAGTTTATAGGGGTAGTGATTTTGAGAAAATTTTAATTTTTGGGATCCAAGCAAGTGGGGTGTCGTTTTCTATGTTTCTTAGGATGCAGAATCGAAAAAGAGCATAATAAAAGCAATACAACCGACCGTTTATCAGAAAAAGACTAATTTATTAATGAAAAACTATATATGATAAATTAATTAAGGTAAAATAATCCAGTTAATTAATATCAATCACCTATTACAATACCCCCGCCGCAGCAAACCTGCAGACTAAGCGAATTTCCATTTGACTGATTGGATTTACACTGAAATGTCTACTTAAAAATATAACATTTATTCCCTATTTAAATAGAATTAGTTTAACAAGTACTTAGGTTTGCTGCATCAGGGAGGGTAAAACTGTTCTTTTTTTGTAAAATGTTAATAGTTAGTAAGAAATAAAAATATTTTTCAAATTTGATCAAAATATGTTCATAAACAAGCAAACTACAACAGTTTACTTATTCTCCATAAGAATAACATTGGAATTTTAAATTTACAATTTTTTGGAATTTTCTCCGTAACCATTAGGCGCATAATAACTCTTCAATATACTAAATTATTTGTTTTTTTAAGCTCTACAAAATGGTTTGAAAAGAAATTGCTAAATTTTATGTTTTTTGGGTAAAAAATAGGAAAAACCTATTTTTACCCCATAAAACCCCCCGTAAACCCCCGTTCCCATGGTCCGATCATGCTGGATTGCGAACTCGTTCGAATAAACGTAGGTTTACACGTTTGTACCAAATTTCATCAAAATCGGATCATTTTTGCTCGAGTTATCGTGCTAACGGACACACATATATATATAAATATATAAATATTTATATATTTATATATAAGTATATATTTATATATTTATATATTAGTAGCCCTAAAAATGCAAGAAAATAATAAATATATATATATGAATTTGAACGGATGGTGTTTTTGGCCTCTAGGGACCTCAAAACGAAAAAAAAAATCGGTCCCGCGTCCAGGTCTTACCATGAGTACTGCGGTAATAGCTTATTCCCTATATGGGAAATTCGCTAAAATTGATCATGAGTCTGTGTCACATGTTAAAGTTGTGAGGAAAATTAACCAAGAACTGGTAGTTACGCCTCTTTAACCACCACGTGTCATATTGTTCATCAGCTACTGATGCATCATCACCTTCCATGGAATCGTCAGAGTCTCTATAACTCGTTCTTCTCCATCATCGTTTTGACAGCTTAGTAGTGGGGATGGGTAGCAGAAACATATTTCAGTTCTGGCGATGATCCTGCAACTTAGGGTGAAGATAATATATAAGACCAAGAATGTAAAACCGCCCAGACCCCAATTTTTAAGGACCTTGGTCGCCCGTAATGGCGTCATCAATATGGCGCTCGGAAGAGGATGCTGGGTCGCTATGAATTGGTTACTATCCCAAAATGCCTGAACCGATTTTAATGAAATTTGGCATACAAGTGCTTGAATACTATATCTAATCCCAGTTTGTCAATGGTCGAGTTTGATTTGGTAATTTCAAAATGGCGGCCGTTAATAATTAAAATAATTAAAAATTGTTTAATGTTTTGTTTTTCAACTCTCTCTCGACATCTGCAGCGATCTTCCATTTTCCTTGCTATTACAGGCTGTGATGTCGTCTCTGCATGTCATGGATTAGGCAAAATACCCCCACCGCAGCAAACCTGCAGATTAAGTGAGTTTCCATTTGACTGATTTGATTTTCAATTAAATCTATTTCAATAACATTAAGTTTAGTGTTAACTAGGTTTGCTGCTACGAGGAGGGTAATAAAGTGTGTTTTTTTTATTAAAATATGAATGGGTTAAATAAATTCGCCAAGTTTTATCAAAATATATCCATAAACGAGTTAACTACAACAGTTTACTTATTCTCCATAAGAATAAAATGTGATTGATAAATTTACAATTTTTGAATTTCCTTGGTAGGTAACCAATATTTTTACAAAAACACTTTAATAAACAAAATTATTTGGTTTTTAAGGTATTCAAATTCATCATGGTATCAAAAATGGTTTAGAGAGAAATTGGAAAATGTTATAGAGGGTTAAACATGACAAACCCCAATTTTGACGCCATAAATCCCCCCAAAAACCCCGTTCCTATGGTCTGATCATGCTGGATTGTGAACTCGTTAGAATCAATCTAAAGATTTGTTGTACTTTTCGATATGACATAACATCAAACTTTAACAGCGTTAATGACTGTAGACGTGTACTTTTTAAAGAACGTTAGCACAACTCAAGTAATAACTCAAGCAAAAATTACTCAATGTTGACGAACGAGTTCGCGAACCGGCATGATCGGACCATGAGAACGGGGTGTTCTGGGGGATATATGGGGTTATAGTTGGGTTCTCATGTTTGCCACTCTAAACGTAAAATCTTTTAATTTCTCTCTAAACTATTTTGAATACCCTTATTAGTTATTTTGCTAGTTTATGGTTATATTTTGATAAAGCTTGGTGAATTTATTTAACCTATTCATATTTTAATAAAAACACACTTTATTACCCTCCCCGTAGCAGCAAACCTAGTTAACACTAAACTTAATGTTATTGAAATGGATTTAATTGAAAATCAAATCAGGCAAATGGAAACTCACTTAATCTGCAGTTTTGCTGCATCGTGGGTATTTTGCCTAATCCATGAAATGCAGAGACGGCATCACAACCTGTGATTGCAAGGAAAATGAAAGATTGCTGAAGATTTCTGGAGAGAGTTGAAAAACAAAACATTAAACAATTTTTAATTATTTTAATTGTTAACGGCCGCCACTTTGAAATGACCCAATCAAACTCGACCATTGACAAACTGGGATTAGATATAGTATTCAAGCACTTGTATGCCAAATTTAATTAAAATCGGTTCAGGCATTTTGGTATAATAACCAATTCATAGCGACCCAGCATCCTCTTTCGAGCGCCATATTGATGACGTCATTACGGGCGACCAAGGTCCTTAAAAATTGGGGTCTGGGCGGTTTTACATACTTGGTCTTATATATTATCTTCACCCTAAGTTGCAGGATCATCGCCAGAACTGGAATATGTTTATGCTACCCATCCCATCCCCACTACTAAGCTCGGTGATGGAGAGGAACGAGTTAGAGACCCTGACGATTCCATGGAAGGTGATGATAGCTAATGAACAATATGACACGTGGTGGTTAAAGAGGCGTAACTACCAGTTTCTTCGTTAATTTTCCTCACATCTTTAACATGTGACACAGACTCATGATCAATTTTGTAATAGGTGATTGATATTAATTAACTGGATTATTTTACCTTAATTAATTTGTCATATTTAGTTTTTCAATAATAAATTAGTCTTCTTCTGACAAACTGTCGGTTGTATTGCTTTTATTATGTTCTTTTTCGATTCTGCATCCTAAGAAACATAGAAAACGACACCCCACTTGCTTGGATCCCATAAATTAAAATTTTCTCAAAATCACTACCCCCATAAACTTAAAACCCCATAAAATGGTACTTCCACCCCCACTATGACTAGGGACTCTTCAGATTACAATACCTAATGGTAATTACTACGTTTCCTGCAAGTTTCATGAATGGACTAATTTTTATGTTTTCTTAAGTGAGTTTTACCTGTACTAAATAATGCAATCGACGTTGGTGATTGTCAACAATTGAACCGGGATCATTAACTTGACGCCGCGCCACTGTAACTTTGATTGGATTAAAATTGAAATGGGAAAATTGACTACCCTAATTAGTTTTAAAATTATTCGCCCCTTACGTATATATAATAACGGTAACAATTACAATCCATCCCTAGTATCATTTCTATCTTGACAAATTCATAGACTATAAATTTTATGTATAACATAATGGTCTTTATGGGTCTTTACACTGTTTTAACGAACTTCCCACGTAAGAATTTGGTCCAGAAAACAGCTGTTTGCCATCAGCTTAATCAAATGGGGTTTCATTACGTACTACCATTGACTATACATACCTACAGTAGGTATATAGTATCTACAGTAGGTACTGTATGTATATATAGTCAATGGTACTACTGTACTATAATGAGACACCAATCAGCTGATTATACTGTATATTGGGTGGTAATAAGTGGTTATAAACCAAAACATAACCATGACTAGTGACTTTGGTCCTTTAGTTGGTGGTAATATATAAGGATTTGTGCAGATTTTATGGCAACTATCGTACGTCACTCGTCCAAAATGTGTTCACAGGACTCGTGTGGCAATTCCGCTCTCGCACGGGAACGGCCACACTCGTCCGGTGAACACATATTTTCAGGACTAGTAACGTAATATACTATCCCAGCTATTTAACATGTTTGTACTTGTAAACAAAACGCAATTACTGGTTGAATTTGAAGTTTTTACGCATCCCTTTATTTTAAATAATAGGCCCAAACATGTTTGCATATTTTAAATGTTAACAATACTTAAACTAACGCAGCAAATTTATTATTTTCACTAATAACAATAATTTTGATTTTTCCAAAATATTTGTTTAATACAACTGTATTTTTTCATAATTTGTCTCAATATCAGTAATCTCAATGGAATAATACAGAGCAGTTTTATTTTTCCAAATTTTAACTTTAAAAACACGAAAGACCTTTGAACTGTGTTTGGTAGAATGAAGAGTGTTTATGCTTTGTGGTGTTCCACGCGTCAACACAAGGAGGGGATGATGATGTTTACACCGGAGGTCTAAGGTCAAAGGAGGGTTACCCCGGGGGGGGGGGTACAGGGGGTGGCGCCCCTCCCTAGACACGGACACGACAGGGGAGTGACGTGTAATTTACTGATACTCTAGAGTAATTTAACTCTTGTGGGATGACACTGACCTTTCTATACATACTTTTAACAGTCTAAAATCATGCCCAGATTTATTTTCGCCGTTACCATTATATATAGTTGTATTTACTTTTTTAAGTAAAATTAACTTGTAAAATAGACACTTCTCCATAGCTGAGATAATTATTTTGTTTGTCGCCGTTCCTACTGATGGTTGTAAGGCTGAGAGCAATACATTATCACACAAATGTTTAACCTTGTACTTGAACTGTTTCAGTCAGCTGTTGACACGTTCACATCTCAGACATTGACTACCAAATGCTCACACTCGCGACTCGCTATTTTACATCAATGTGATAATCAAGCCGACAGCTCTCGACGCTAAAGATATTGACGATTCTTTATGAGTTGTATATTTTATTGTAAGAGACTAGTTTATCATTATGTATTGCATCCAACATGTTATTATTATATATGTATATACAAGATGTACAAAAAGTCCCGGGTCGGTTAAATATTTTTGAAATATTTAATAGAACTACAAAACATTGCACCAAGTTGCTGGACATAAAAATCAATTTTATCACATATTCAGTGATCCGCTACTTCCTCAGAGAGACGGCCCACTAGGAGTCAGAATAAAAACTTAAATGTAAGCATAGGTTGATATGCACATAAAATTAAAGGTATTTATTAGTAAAAGACAATGCCGCAAACACGAACTCAACAACAAACACTTTAAAAACTTTTTTCACACTAAAATCACTGTATACTATTTTACTAGCGTTTGCGTGAACCTGCGCACCAGCATAAGCGTCAAACTAAAGTTAATTAACATTTACTCCCTTTGAACTGCTTTGAACCAACGATCGAATTGAAGTTTCTAATTATTGGAATTTCGGCTTTTAGTATGACTGCGGAAACCTAGAATTATTTATCATAGTTTTGAAGCCTTAATATCTGTCATTTTTGGTTCGATAACCTGTCAACACATATAGGACCTTTACTTAAATTCACTGCCACTATTTTCTAATGTAGTTATTTCATAATTATCTGCAAATCTTGTTTAGTGTTAGGTTATTTTACGTTGGGTTAGGTTTTTGGCCGGGGCCACACTCATCCATCTCACTGAATTTTTTCCACGGGCGTTACCCGTGGGTTTGAGAGATACATTACGGTATATGGGGCAGGCCACACTAGAGTAAAAACGTCCGTGAACGCGTTTGTCAGTCTCGCTGGTAAAACGGAATTGCACGTGTATTCTCTACTAACACCCCACGGGCGTTGCACGTAAAACTAGTCGCGGGGCATTGCGGCTTATGGGAGTGAACACACTCATCTTATCTCGCTGAATTTTTTCCACGGACGTTTCTAGTTTTAACCTGACTGATTTAGTACTTGGAGGGGGGAGGCGGAACACGGACACAGACGATTTTTATTGCCAATGTGGCATGCTCTATCAGTCTCACTGGTTTGCCCGAAAAATCTATCTCGTAAGACGAGTGTGGCCACGGTCAAACTGTTCCACGTGCGTCGCACGTGAAAACGGAAAACAACAGTCTCGCTGGTTAAAAGTTACAAGTGTGGCCCCGGCCATTTAGAAAGGCATAACCTAAAGCTTCAACGAAAAGGTCCTACAATATCCTTCTTGTACTCAGTCAATGTTGACTATTAGATCGTTGATTGTTGATTGTAACTTGTACGTTTGTTGCAGACAAGTTGACATGTCGCCAAGTACTGAACATGATGGTGTTGTTCGGCTTCATGGTGAACTACATGTTGCGGGTGAACATGACCATCGCCATAGTAGACATGGTGGTGCCATCCAACACCACCAAGGACGGTGTGGAAGTGATACATTCAGAGTGTGTGGCTGAAACTCCGATCAGCAACGTCACCATAGACTCGGAGCCGCTGTCCACACTCTCCACACCGGTCAGTTAAACCAAAATAGTTTTCAAATAACCTCCCAAAATTACTTCTTAGTTGTTTTCAATTCTATTTGCTAATGGAAACAACGAGCTATAGTGTCGTGGGTTCGGATCCTGGTCACTGCCGAAACATTTTATCAGTACAGTTTACCTTTGTACCTTACCGGCTCACCCCTTGTTTGGCTAGATACGTTCCATGCACGGGAGGTTGGTCATGGTCGATATGTAGAACTATTTACAATAATGCCACAATTAACTACATTCGATTAAACAATTGATACATACCAGCATTTTCGATAACAATTAGTTATAATCGAAATTTACAACTGAGTTGAAAGACTTACACCCTAGGGACTAACACCACTTTTACTCCCTATGCTACTTTATACCCACAACGCATGCATTAAAACGACTGTTTTTGCTGCAGTTTGACGAAAAGTAAGTATAAAACCACCAGCTGTTGTGACATTATGGTATTGGTTTTACTGTATTAGCTTTGATCTAAAAATCACAAGTATGCAAATTACTCGTAAAATTGATTTGTGCTCATTATCTTTATTGTCCACGGTATTTGTATAAATGCTGCGTTTTTAAAAGCTATTGTAAAATTGATAAGATAAACTCTCATTTATGTTCCCGGATTAGATTGTATTTACTAACAACATACTTGAGATAGGGGAGTGACTGGTTTAGATCGGTTAGGATGATCTTAATGTACATCCTTTAAATTAATATAAAACCAGCGTCTGTGAAAAATTAAACATAAAGTGAGCCAAAACAGTAATGCATGTAAATGATTTTACAATTTGAAACATAAATCCTAATCTATATATATATATATATATATAGGCAAGGTTGTTTCTTTAAAGCCATTTTTCTCAGCTCATGTGCATCGCAGTAAAAATCTACGCATACTGTTGGAAAGATATTTTCATCTAACTTTGTAGAATCCCTTCATAAAATGAAATAAGCTCAAAAATAAGCACAAAAATGAATTGAAAGTAAAAAAAAAATGTTCATGGACCTTAGTGAGTGACGAAATAACTACGCAATATAAACATCAAAACAAATAGTAGAAATTCCAATCACATGTTTTATTTACAGCGTAGGGTGTAAATAGAGAAGTCTGTACATTACATATTTTTGGTCGAGTTTTCGACCACTGGACGACCTCTAGTTCAGTTTATTTTGCAAGTTTAAAGTTTATGGGTTTGTGTTTATTTAAAAAACGCCCCCCTCAAACAATGATCAAATTCTTAACTTTCTTCCTATTTTTCTTTCTTTATGCCGTTGGAATTTTCAAACGTTGAAAGGGAGCGGCCCGTCATCTTGTTTCTCTCTACCGCCGACTTTTAGTTTGATAACACCATGAACACATTGATAACCCCCATCAGCGACAAATAATATCTAAGGTTAAGAATCGACCTCCTCGGGATCGGACCAGCTCGATTTGAAGAGTGATATTTACTCATCTACTCAACAATAATATGTTCAATTTGTTCAATTTGTTGTTGTCTTTTTAGTTAGAACAACAAAACATTTATTTGCGTTTTTAATTAGCCTAGTCTTCCAAATTAATTAGCCAAATACTAGGCCTATTGTTCGTTATTGAACAGAAAACATGAAATTCAACACATTTTAAATTTGACAATGCCAGAGACATCGCCGTTTCTGAATGGTCCAAGGGTGTCCGGAAAGATGGGGACGAGGAAACTTAGGGACACGGAAACTTGGGGACAAATCGGGTTTTGAGCCGAGGGGGAGGCAAACGGAGGCTGACTAAGCTCTGAGAACGACTCTTTAAATCGACTCGTTCTCTATTTTTATTGTACCTAGGTCTAGTCGTAACTACGACTTGTATTTATATCTAGTTCTATCTCCCCTTACATTTTTCAACTTGTTTAAATGGTTACTTTTGTAGAGCTTAGGGACAACAGATTTAGTACATTGAAGTGTTTTTGTAGGGTTATTTTATTAATCACGGAGTAAACTCGAATTGTAAATGATTATTCAAGCATACATTTTTTAAATAAAAAATACACTTGAATATTTTTAAAACAGTAGCTTCAACTTCGTGAGGATGTTATAGCCTCCAATTTATGTTATACGACCGTGAACATAGACGAATTTATCTCGTTTGTATTAGAACAATAATACAATATAATTCAGGAACAACCCGTGACTAGCTATTACTGAGAAAGATTAAAGAAATACTTGTTGTAAAATATAGTCGTAGGCATCTGGTACAAAGTATTCCACCTTTTGTTTAATCTAAGCAAACCCATAAACATTCAGTACTTGGAAAGGTAATGGAAATATGAGTGAACAGAATACAACGATGTCCCGTTAATCCCCTCGCACGTTTCTCCGAATCGACTTCATTTGCAATTTCTTAGATTTTCCTTTCAAACAGGCCAGTTGATGGGGTGTCAGGTCACTCGGGTCAGTTAACTTTTGTGTAGTTGCGAGAGTGTGATTGTCCTCCAATTCCCAACCTAAATATTGTTTCGGTTTTACGTGGCAATCGCAAAAGAGGAACTCTAAGGATCAGCTGTTGATAAAACTATTTTTTTTGTGAATTCTTAAAAGTGGTAGTAATTTAGGCCTAATTTATTCCTTCGTCGTCAGTATATACTGATTGAAATATTTATATAAAAAATTTTCCAAACACTGATTTGTATGATATTGGACACGTTTTCTTTAATTCTTTACTGCAAACGTCACTTACCAAATACCAATAATGTGACGATATAATATTTCGTCTGAAAACAAATGCCGATCTGTTTAGAAACGTGTTCTTTCTACAAACTTGCACTTGTATCTTTAAGTTATAAGTTATTTACAATCAGTGACTTGTTTTGGAATCGCTTCCAGGACAATTAATTTAGTGACAAATTTTACACGTTCGTTATCGGTACAGGTTTTTGAAAAAAAAAATGTATTTATGGTTCAAAGTACCAGTACAATCGGTACATAACTAACTCATGTCGTAGACTCGCGGGCAAGAATAACTCTTAGTAGGGTCAAAGGAATCCGAATCAGAGTGAATCAATAGTACTAAGTCTTAACAAAGTAATACATTTTGATAAATTTTTGGTCAATTGACAATAACTTGTTAATCTAAATAAGGTGAACTAATGATCTCAGGATGAAACTATCAAATTAATTTAACCAGCAACAATTATATTTTAAGATTAAAAAAAACATCGAACAGTAGGCCTACATTTAAAACATTGTTTATGCCAAAACTATGAGTAACAACGAATTCTGTTAGTTGGCAGCCTAACATGCAAGGTATGATGTTGGATAAGGCAAAAGTATGTAGGCATATAGTTATAACGCCAAGAATAGGAATAATCTTCTTACCGTATGTCTTTCGCTGTGCGATCCGGTAGTGCCGCGAGGCGCGAAACTAAATTAAAATACCCCCGCCGCAGCTAACCTGCAAACTAAGCTAATTTCCATTTACCCGGCTTGAGTTCTACTAAAATATTCCATAAAAATTGTCAGATTTATTTCCTATTTAATTAACATTAATTTTAGTAAGTACTTAGGTTTGCTGTTACGGAGTATTTGCTACACTTTTATGTATATGCTCGTCGCCGTATGACTTATAACAACACCATCAACGTTACAGCTTCTTTGGCATAGTTATATTTATTTTACAATTTACTGTTTGTGAATATGACCGTAGACAGTTTTGTATGTGTACGCAAGAATTACGAGACATCCGTTAGTATATTAAGGTGATTATTAAAATAACTACAAACTGACAAATCAGTTGTAGACTCCAGGTATTCCGTATTTCATTTACTATGTGATTTACTGTCTATCAGTGATATAGTCAGTAGATAGATTTCGTGGAAACTAGATAGTGACAGGATTATGCCGGGTTGCTTCATCCTCAAAATTGCAAAAAAAATCAAACTAATTATCGCTATTCCAACGCATTATGTGCTTAAACAAATAACATTTGAAACGATTATTTTGTTGTTTAAGAGTTCCTTCCTAATACACAGTATCATCGCATTTTAGGCTACTTAAAATACTTCTTAATTTTTTTAGGTTTACTGTTTGGAAATATTCAAATTATGATTTTGAAGTCAATCCCGTTACTGTAGCTCTCTGTGAATTGAAACAGGAGAACGATTCGTTCTAAAAGAGTCGTTTCAGAGCCTAGTTCAGCTAATCTCTCCCTCCCCCCGGTCGAACCCCTATTTGGCCCTAACTTTCCGTGTCCCTAACTTTCCTTGTCCCCATCTTTCCTAAACTCGGTCCAAGGACAGAATCCCTGGTTTGACCACTAAACAATTCGCCTCGCTTTCGTTATAAACGCCTCAGTGACAGTTGGTCGACATCCCAGTTTGGAAGTGGCTCCTTTATGACCGTTTCATGCTAAAGAGGTGTTCATTGGACCACTTTACGATCAACTCTCACATGTAAGCTGGTCAAGAGAAACGATACTCGAGACTTTAAAATTTAATTTTTGGGAAGCATCACTGAAACAAAAATATGAACTCGTTGAAACTACTGAGTTATACGCGACTCTATTTGGTAGTTTTTTTTTTAATAGGCATTTTTTAAGTGGATTCGCGGATCTTGCTTTTCAAGGGATAAACGTGTCATTGAACTTGTTAAAAATCCATCCATCTTCGGAGGATGCTAGAATCCAAATCATTGCCACATAGTTGTACAATAATTTGATAAGTCATTTTGAAGATATTAGACATCCTTGGCAAATAAATTCTATTTTAGCTGTCTTGGATTACTCCCACTGAAGTATGAAGATGAGTCAACAAACATGATGAGATGAGTGTTTTTAAATCAAAATGAGGGAAGGTTAGTTTCAGTCAGGAGACGGTCAGAGGGTCCTACTACAACCGTTTTAGTTCCTAATATGAGCAGCTTCTTGATATTCGAGATTCTGAAACTCTGATTTCGGGTATTTATTTCTTCATTTTCTCGATATCCTGTATAAACTATTTTCCAGTTCCAGTACAATAT